GGGCTGGGGGGGTCCCTCAGCACGGCCTGTGCCCTCTCACAGTCTGAGATCCCTCGGGGGATGTCCACCTTCTGGCTTAGGCCCGCTCTCCAGGGTATCAGACCTGAGCTGGAAGTCAGACATCCCTCTGGCAACCCGGCAACCCTTGGGGGATGTCCGCTTGCCAGCGGGGAGCAGGCCTAAGCTGCAGTCGGACATCCTTAGCGCTGCTGAGGAGGCGGGAGAGGCTCCTGCCACCACCACTGTGCCGGGAGCTGTCAGCCTGATTGTGGCTGAGCAGAGCTCCCCTGTGGGAGCGCACTGACCACAAGGGGGCATCTCCTGCATTGAGCGTCTGCCCTCTGGTGGTCAGTGTGCGTCATGGTGGTCAGTGTGTGTCATGGTGACCAGTCTTTCTGCTGTTAGGGTCAATTTGCATATTACCCTTTTATTATATAGGATAGAGGCCCGGTGCATGGGTGGAAGCTGGCTGGTTTGCCTTGAAGGGTGTCCCAGATCAGGGTGGGGTCCCGCTGGGGTGCCTGGCCAGCCTGGGGGAGGAGCTGATGGCTGTTTGCAGGCTGGCGAAGCCCCCCAGTGGGGACCCTCACCCCATGGGAGTGTGGTCAGCCTGGGTGAGGGGCTGAGGGCCATTTTCAGGCTGGTCACACCCCCTTCAGGGCAGCCTTTTCTTAGAGAGAGTAAGTCCAGGGAAAAACACTGGCTTTCAAAATAAGGAAGAAAGTAGGAGTGTGCAAATTAAATAAAGATAAATTGTTAAAGGTTAACTAGTTCCTCTTGGTGGTGTGATAAGCAAATGGTATAGTCATTCTCTGGTTCTACAATATTTAGATGTTTTATTTCAGTCACATAGTGGGAGCTGAGAACAAATGTGGGTTAAACCAAATACAAAATACCTTCACAGAACATAAGCTAAAACCTATTTCCTTAATCCTTCAGTGTTGAATCATATGTTATGACTGGACCATAAATGTGAAAAATGCCAAAGTAGCTCTAGTATTGCTATAGTTTGCTACACACATACATGCAAGGAAAAGCATATTCATCCTAGAAGTATGCTATCATCATTGTTATTGTATTAGTTTTCTATTGCTATATAATAAATTACTGGAAAGTTAAGGGTTTAAAACACCTATTTATTATTTCCAGATTTCTGTTGAGCAGAAGGTGGGGCACAGTGAAACTGGGTTCTGGGCTCAGGGTGTCTCTAGACCAAAGGTTCTCAACCTGTGGGTCACGACCCCTTTGGGTGTCGAACGACCCTTTCACAGGGATGGCCTAAGACCATCGGAAAACACATATATAATTACATATTGTTTTTGTGATTAATCACTATGCTTTAATTATGTTCAATTTGTAACAATGAAATTGGGGGTCACCACAACATGAGGAACTGTATTAAAGGGTCGTGGCATTAGGAAGGTTGAGAACCACTGCTCTAGACCAAGCATGTCAACTCGCAGCCGAGGGCCACACATAGCCCACAACAAATATTTTTGCGGGCCAGCCAGTATAATGGTATGTAAGAAACTTTTTAATAAAAATTTTGTAACTTAATTTTTACAATATCCTGTTATACATAACTTTTAATAACGAACTACAATGTTCACTAATGACTGGTTACTATAATTGTGTTGCATTCATTTCCCTTACACATCTTACTCACAGGTGCACCATTTCTCTCCACTAATACTAGGAACGAATATTTTAGCAGCTGGATTGCCATGTAATTAGTCTTGGACTGACTTGTTGGTGTGTGCAACAGGAAATATTTTGCTTTCGGGGAACAAGAAAAATAAGTTTATTTGAGTTACAATTATTAATTTGTGCAGTTAGTCATTGTCTAGTAAGTTAATGTTCAATAAAAATATCAATTTTTATTAAAATGTTCTATTATTTTATCTTAACAATTACTCATTTCAGCCTTTTGTATTCAGCTTGTTTCTATAGAAATAAACCTATGTTTCTATGAAAATTGAAGCTTTTGTTTTCTTGTGGCCCACATAAACTTAAACCTTGCGTGTTTGACATGCTTGAGTTTGACACGCTTGCTCTAGACTGAAATTAAGGTTTTGGCAGTCATATTCTCATCAGGAGTTCAGGGTTCTTTTCCAAGTGTTCAGGCTGTAGGAAGAATTTAGTTCTTTGCAGTTGTAGGACTGAGATTCCTGTTTTCTTGCTGGCTGCCCTTAGCTCTTATCTCTTAAGGGCCTCTCTCAGATCCTAGCCATGGAACCCTCTCATGACACGATGGTTTACTTCTTCAAAGCCAGTGCTAGAATCTCTTTACACTCTGCTTCTATGGGAAGGAGTCACATTTAATGCAATGTAATCACAAGAGTGACTATGCTATCACCTTTGCTACACAACATAGCCTAAACAAGGGAGTGTCTGTCCAGTGCATCCACAGGTATAATGGTATGTAAGAAACATACCATTATAGCGGAGGGGAATCTTTAAAGCCATCTCAGAATCAGGCCTATGTCAACTATCACTCAAGACAGGAGCTGAACTCTATACTATGTGACTAAGGAGAGAACAAAATGTTACTCACCTACAGAACCTAAAAGTTAAATGTAAACAGTCTCAAGGCCAAGAATAATGTTTTTCAAGAGAAAAAACAAACTATATATGTCTACCAAAATAAGACACTCAGGTCTCAATCTCAATATACCTTTGAACTATACCTAGTAGAGATGCAAATTCCCACACAGACCAATAATGAGACTGGCAAAGACATATGGGTGACTATCTAATTCTAAAAGTTACTTATACCTCATTTTTGGCAACCCTAAACTTTAAGTTTCCATGAAACCATCCTCTTTTACCCCTATCTCCTTCTTAGTTATTATATCCAGTCGCAGGCTAGAAGCAATTTGGCAATACTATGTTATCTATAGATAGAGTAAAAAAAAATCAGTATTCAAATTGCAACACTGACATTTTCTGGAGTAGGAATAAAATAACCAGATGACCACATTTTAATTCTGGGCTATACACTCTGTATAATCACCTCTTTTTGAATGTAACCTTTCATTAGGTTACTTTATACAGCAAAATTACAGAGTAGTCACTCCCATGATTACATCATTTATGTAAGACCCCATCTGAGCAGACTGGAGAGATTGTCTTGCTAGCCTTGAAAAGGTTAGCTGTGGTGCTGTGAGAGGGTCATGTGGCTAGGAACTGAGGAAACTTTCAGGAGCTGAGAATAAGCCCATGCTGACAGCTAGTAAGAAAACGGGGAGGTCAGGTAAAGAGTTGCAAGGAATTTAGTCCTGCCAATGACCTGAACGAGCTTGGGAGGAGATCCTGAGCTTCAGATCATATCAGATCCCAGATGGCACCTTGATTTTGGGCTGGTGAGACCCCGAGCACAGGATCAGACTAACGCCTGACTGGAAGGTTAACCAATGAAAACCGGGTGATAATAAATTTGTGTTGCTTTAAGCTGTTAATTCCATGGTAATTCTTTATTCAGCATAGAACAGTAATATATAAACAGATTCATAAATAAACAAACAAGCAAAATTAGTTATAGAAATTTTCTGTAGCAAGAGCTCTTTATACAGAATCCCAATTGGTCTTACCAAGGAGCTACCGAATTTTCAGACCTTTAAAATGTATTGAAAACTAAAATACACCAAAAAATAAACATACGGGGGTGGGCAAAAGTAGGTTTACAATTGTTCGCATGACAAAAGACATCCAGGTTATGATTGTTACAATAGCTTTATTAACTCCATATTATAAACCTACTGTAAACCTACTTTTGCCCCTCTCCCACCCCCTCCCCCGTATTTCTGTGGTACTCCAGAATATTGTAGATGACAAACAAAAGTAAAAACTCCTTAAGCGATGAAAGAATGCCAATGCCAAACCAGTGGAGATTTAACCATACAACTCCAGCAAGGTTAAAAGAAAATCTGAATAATTAATAATGGTAGATATTTGTATTCAGATATATGTACAAAAACAAAGAGCACTTACTTTGAAAATTGTTCTCTGAGAAGACTCGGGGATGATAGAATCCTGCTTTGCAAATGCACTGATAGGCGCCGAGCACAAATCCAAGGCCTTTAATCGGCAAACACTGTAAAAGAGAAAAGACAGCCATATCGGTGATCAGAGTTTATTTCATAGCATAAAGTCCCACAGATATCCATCAATGCAAATAGTAACAGAACTAGCACATATCCAAAAATAAAAAATATATCTTTTTTTACTTTTATTTTAGGTTTGTTTGCCAACCTACGTTTTTTAAAAGTAGCAAATTAGATTTTCTTTCTAAATATATGCCATTACAGCTTCAGTTACCATACATCTTTAATTCATTCAGTCATCATAGGGAATAATGACTAGACATAGTTTCTGTTTTTAATGCCACACATATCATCTTATTGCTTTAAGAGATATTTCCAAAGCCTATAAAGATATTTTAAAAGTGATTCCATGCTACATATTTTTATCAAAGCAAAGGTATGTAGGTAAGTAGATGAATAGATTATAGAATTTGAAATGTGAAGTTGCTTTTATGGATTAAATATTCATCAAATTTCATTCTTGAAACAAAACAACACAAATTGATAGAATAACAAAACAAAAAATTATAATGCAAATTTAGAAGAGGGAAAAAAAAGATAAGTTAATGATCCCAAAGGTTCTTTACCTAAAATCTGTTATGCAGATAAATGTTCTACATGTAGATGAAAAGAAGAAAAACAATGATCAGCTTTCAAAATATGTCACATCAATAGACAGTAGGACTGAGGTTCCTGTTTTCTTGCTGGCTGCCCTTAGCTCTTAGCTCTTAATGGCTGCCCTCAAAGCTTAATGTACATCTCCCAAAATCTTAATCTTAGCTTCTTTCAAGAATATCAATTAACTGCAGCAAAATTCAGCTGAACATACTTTATTTGTGTTACATAGAATTACACAAGCACAAATAACTTTCATTAAAATACAAAACTGGAACAGGACCAGATTGGAAATACAACTAAATTGGGGAACATTCACCTGGAATTACCAACTGAGGTACACCTGAGAAGAAGGCATATATCAAGAAAGGATAGAAAATACCTGGAGGCTGTATGTGTTTGTTTTGTTTCTTGTTTTGTTTTGTCAGCACCTGCACAACAGTTTGCACAGCATGGATGGGGATGAGCCTCACAGTCAGCCAACCTGAGAGGAGATTCCTCTCATGAATAGGACAACATTCAAGACCAAATTACACCAGGAGAGAACAAATAACTCATACAAGGGTCATTCCTAGAGCAGCCCTCTCAGGAGATCTAAGAGACTGCACAGCTGGGTTTCACAAAACAATGACTACATAAGACCGCCCACCCTATGAAGACTGAGAGGCATAACAATTAGCTCTAATACATAAAAACAAATACAAAGGGACAGGAAAACTGGGAAGACAAAGAAACCACTCCCAAATGAAAGAAAAGGAAGAAACTCCAAAATGAGAGCTAAATACAATGGAGGAAAGCAAATGATCAAATATAGAGTTCAAAGTAATGGTTAAAAGGATGCTCAAGGAACTTAGTGATAATTTCAAGAAACCTAGTTTGAACTACAACAGCATGAAACAAGAAATAGAAACCATACATAAGAATCAGTTGGCCTGGAGGAACCAAGATGGCCACATAGGTAAACACCTATACTTGCTGCCTCTCACAACCACATCAAAATTACAACTAAAAGGCAGAGCAACCACCACCCAAAACCGCAGGAAAGAAGGCTGAGTGGAAGTTCTACAACTAGAGAGATGAAGAAAGGGCATTGAGACTGGTAAGAGGTGTGGAGGTGCGGAAAGTGTTGGCACCTGGATGTGCTGCTCTTTTAATTGGGAGGGAGATACAAGCTTCTGCTTGCTCTGAACTCCAGTTCTGGGCGAGACTCTGGGGGACCCAGACACATATGGGGAGAAACTGGACTGTCTGGCATCAGGACAGGAATGCGAGGGTGGCTTTCTCTCAGAGGTGCTTGCAGCGATCATTGTTCCTGCATAGGGGGATGGAAGACCTACGGACCGCTCCGGTGCAGGGCTGACTGGCAGCCATTGCTGTTTGCGCCACCCTGGTGATTCCCAGAGACGCCCCAACTCAATTTACAACCCCACCAAAGCTGTGAGCAGAGAGAGGCTTTTGCATATGAATGGCTTGTCTTTTTCTCCGCCTAAAATCTGTCAAACTGCAGCTGAGTTCAGAGAGCCCCAGAGCTTCCAAAAGAAGGCCCAAGGCCTGGCAGCAGCAGCCTGCCTTTCTTCACAGCTGGGCCTCGTCTAGGCATTTCCAAACCCCATAGAAAGAGGAGGAATCTGCAGATGACTCTGTGGCTCCTGCTGGGTGGCCCAGACAGTGGCTGACTTTGCACTTCCTTGGAGATCCAAGAGCCAGTATATCCAGTGGTCAGAGTGAGATCATACCGGATTATAACTCTTCACATCCATATGAGACACACTCAAGAGACAGACTCCGTGAGCACCAAAGCCCCACTGAAGCAAATCTTGCCCCATAAGGGTGTCTCCTGTGCAACAGATCTTCCAGTGTAGACAAGGCTGGTCATCACAGCCAATTGGCCTGGAGGTCAATTCCTCCCAGTGATACCAATAGCAATCAAGGGTTAAATACAACAAGACTGTGAAAACAGCCCACAAAGGGGTGCACCAAGAGCATCCACCTCAGGTGACTGGGGAAGCTGAGCCACTGGGTCTTATAGGACACTTACCACACAAGGCTGCTCTATCAACTCAAGGAGACTTAGCAGCTACCCAGTACATAGAAACAAACACAGGGAAGCAGCTAAAATGCAGATATAAACAAACATGTCATAAATGAGAGAAATGGGTGAAAGAAAATACTGGATATTGAGTTCAAAACCACAGTTATAAGGTTACTCAAGAATCTTCTAGAAACCTCCAAGGAATATAGTGAGACCCTCAAGTATATGAAAAAGGACCAATCAGAAATTAAGCATACACTGACTGAAATAAAGAATAATATACAGAGATTCAATAGCAGACTAAAGGATCCTAAGAATCAAGGCAAAGATTTGAAAACAAAACAGTTAGTTACCTACAAGGGAGTACCAATGGGACTGTCAGCTTATTTCTCAACAGAAACTATGCAGGCCAGAAGGGAGTGGCAAGAAATATACAAAGTGATGAATAACAAGAACTTACAACCAAGATTACTTTACCCACCAAAGCTGTGAGCAGATGCTTTCATTTACAATTGAAGGTCAGATAAAGAGCTTCACAGACAAGAAAAAGCTAAAGAGTTCATCACCACCAAACCAGTATTATATGAAATGCTGAAGGGTATTCCTTAAGAAGAGGAAGAAGAAGAAGAAAAAAAAGGTAATGATAAAAAATTATGAACAACAAAGTGACAACAAATACATATCTCTCAACAAGTGAACCTAAATATCAAATGAATAAAAAACCTGATGACCAGAACAGACTGGTGAATGTAATAGACTCAAGGGCTTGAAAAGGGAGCAGACTGACAATTCTCGGGGAAAAGGGGTTGTGGAGGGTGTGGGAAAAGATTGGACAAAGAGCTTACACCTATGGATGAGGTCAGTGGGACCGGGGGAGGCCTGGAGTGGGGTGCGAACCAGGTTGAAGGGATCTATGGGGGGAAAAAAGAGGAACATCTGTAATAATCAGAACAATAAAAATTTAAAAAAAGAATCAGTTGGCCTGGTCATTGTTATATTAAAAGAACATAGTGGAAGGAATCAAAAGTAGATTAAATGAGGTAGAACACTGAATCAGTGACTTGGAAGATAAGGTAGAAAAAAGACACCCAATTGGAGCAGAAAAAAGAAAAGAAAGAATTAAAAAGCTGGAGGATAGTATAAGGAAACTTGGGAACAACATGAAATGTAACATCAGCATCATAGGGATACCAGAAGGAGAAGAAATTTAGCAAGGAATAGAGAACCTGTTTAAAGAAATAATGACAGGAAACTTTCCTAACCAAGTTCAAGAAATATAGAGAGTTCCAATCAAGATGATCCCAAAGAGACCTACTCCAAGACACATCATAATCAAAATAACAAATATTAAAGACAAAGCAAGAACTTAAAGGCAGCAAGAGAGAGCTAGAAAGGGGCCTACAAGGGTGTACCAATTAGAATTTCAGCTGATTTCTCAACAGAAATACTGCAGGCCAGAAGGGACTGGCATGAAGTATTCAAAGTAATGAAAAACAAGGACCTGAATCTAAGACTACTCAATCCAGCAAGGCTATCATTTAAAACTGAAGCAGAAATAAAGAGATTTCCAGACACTTGGGCTGTTTCCAGATCTTAGATATTGTAAATAATGCTGCTATGAACATAGGAGTGCATATATTCTTTCTGATTGGTGTTTGGGATACTTAGGATATATTCCCAGAAGTGGTATCACTGGGTCTAAAGGCAGTTCCATGTTTCATTTTTTGAGGAAACTCCACACTGTTTTCAAGAGTGGCTGTACTAGTCTGTATTCCTACCAACACTGTCCGAGGGTTCCATTTTCTCCAGCACTTATTGTTTGTTGATTTATTGATGGTAGCCATTCTGGCAAGTGTGAGGTGGTACCTCATGGTAGTTTTAATTTGCATCTCTCAGGTGATTAGTAACAAATATTACATGATCTCACTTATAAGTGGAATCAAAAGAACAAAATAAATAGATGAACAAAATAGATCCAAGAAGTATAGATGCATGGAACACAATAACAGATCTCAGTGAGGGGTTGGGAGTGGTGGAGAGGAGACAGGAAGAGGTTAATCAAAGAACATATATGCATAACCCATGGAAACAAACAATAGCATAAGGAAGATCTGGGGTGGGGAAGGAAGTGGATTGGGGAGGGCAAAAAGGAAGAAAATGGGAGATATCTGTGATACTGTCAACAATAATATTTTTTAAAAAAATTTTTTTAAAAGTTTACCTGGGTTGGGGAGTGGGTGTGGGCTGGAAAAGGTTGATGGAGGAGAAAGGGGGACATATGCAATAATTTCAACAACAAAAATTTAAAAAAAGAATTTAGAGTAAAATTTCTTCCTCAACTACTCAACGATGTGTGTGTAAACA